ACTGCTTTGTCAATTCCAATGAAATTAATATTACTAGGCTTGTAAAAATTTACTATACAAATTGGTCAAGATTCTTCTCTACAAAAACCGCTTTGCCCTGCACTATTGGTAAGTTTAATTCATTTACCGGATTCAATTGATATGTTTCCTTAGTTTCTAGATGATTAAATTCAAAAAGACATTCAATAGTACTTTTTTCCTATCGCTGAATGCTTATTTGTAAGTTTAAGCTTAAATGTATCAAAGCTAAGGCACATATAATATCTATCCAAAATCATCATCAATCAGAGGAAATGAGCAGCAGCTCAACATAAAATTTACAGTAAAATTAAACTTTTGAAACGCGGAGAAACTTTGAGCTTTCTGAAACGTGATCCAGCTCTGGAAACGCGACTGAGCCCATCAACCAATCAGGCAGTTGAAAAATCGTAGTCAGACAAATCAGTGCAGACACGGATCTGAGATTGTGCACGCAGAATTTCAAAATTAAAATTTTGACGGCCTTTAGAAAATTTTTTATTTGCGTCGGCCAAAAATGGATGCCGAAAGCTAGAACTAAAGAGGAATCCTTTGGGTGGTCAAGGGTAGAAATCCTGAATCCGCTATGCCTGAATTGAAATGTAGTTTCAAGTTGTGTTACATGTCATACTCCGAGCAAACATTACAAATGATTGAATAGATTTGGAAAAAAAGTTTTATTGTAGAAAGTTTCAGGAGTTGGGTCACTATTTTCAGTAGCTCCACTATTTTCATATAATTTAAAAACAAATCTCAACTTTCGAATTTCCAAGAAAAAAATAGATGCCCTTCAAGCTCTTTGAATTTCTAGAACGGTTTATGATTGGCACTTTTTTTGATAACATTAACCCAACTTGAGAAAACTGGATCAAAAGGTTAAACTTGTATTTCACTGGGAAATCTGATAATTAAATTCCGCGTTCGAAACTAGAAATCGTTCACCTCTTTTCGCGCCATTTCTACGCTCGTATTTGGAGAATGCTATTTACGTCACTTTCAGCAGATGAATTTCAAAATTTTATGATTTTTTCCTGAGAAAAAAACCAGCAAGACCTATATAAGAGTCTTCACTACGTTCATTACTCTTGAAAATTCGGCTATGACTCGGATTCGATCTCCGACCTACAGCGACCTAAAGAATATGAGTCTCACGCACTAACAACTCAGCCAGGGACGCTTAATAAATCACAAACACTAGCCAAAACAAAGCAGAGAACAGATGCCATGCAATTTCCAATGCTACAGATCATAATTATAGCAAAAGCACACAAATAAGTGAACACTTCTAATGAACACTTAGATTTGCGAGTTAGGGCTAAAAAAAGAAGATTCGTACTAATACACTACGCTGCTTGTTAGTGTAATCAAAGAAGGATTTCCTTTAATCACCCCTTGATACTCAAGTTAACAGAACCATGCAACAGAGACGACATCATTTGCACCTTTCTTTGAAGAAGAAAATCGACGCCTTTTTCAAAACCCGACAAACCGCTCTTATAAGGGCTGAAAACGAGAAACTATCCTTTTGAACCGCAGATTTTTGTACCTCGTAAGGTTAGTTTGAAAATGGTTGTATAGTTAAGAATAGTTTACCGCATAGGTAGAAAACACGAGTTTGAAATTTGAAAAAATGAGTCATTTTCAAACGCAGAGACAAATAGGAGCTTTGCACCACTTGCGATACATCAAGTACGTAAAGAACTGACTATGGGCAATAACTTAAGCATATTCTGAACTTTCAAAAACTACAGTAACTAGAACAAACTCTCAAGAGCACATATGATTCTAAGGCGAAAGAATAACTATTATATATAAATAACTAGGGGCCCAGCTGAAAGCTGGAGAGACCTGTTTGATTATTTTAATATTGATTATTTTGAAATTGTTTTAAAATTTCAGGTTTCTCAAGTCGATAGCGCCTTTCCTACGCAAAAAAAAGAAGCTTATGCATTCATTGGTAACGCTTTGGTAAAAAGTTTTCATGAGGGAACTTTTCAAGTCCATAGGTGTTTCCCTAGACAATAGGGGCCCAGCTGGAAGCTGGAGAGACCTGTTTGGTTATTTCAGAAAAAACGTTATACAAATTTTTGATGAAATCGAATTAGCTAGCGCTTTTTGTTTTATTGACATGAAGCGGATTCCATTGTCTAAAAAATACACACAATAAGTATATTGAATCAATAGTGTTGAATCCTAAGTGTACAGCTCTTCCCCGAGACAAATTAAGGACCAGCCGCTTGGGCAGGGGAGTTTCCTACAACCTGGTCTATCGATTAAACCCTTAATCCCAAATCTGGATGGGTAGTTTTTGAAGAAATGGAAAGTTTGAAAAAATGGCCTAAAAACCGAAAAATTGACTATTCCTAAGTGTATAGCTCTTCCCCTAGACAAATTAGGGACGAGCCGTTTGTGTAGGGGGGTTCCTACAACCTGGTCTATCGATTAAACCCTTAATCCCAAATCTGGACGGGTAGTTTTTGAGGAAATCGGAAAGATTTGAAAAAAGGCCAAAAAAGTCAAAAAAGTGACTTTTCCTAAGTCTATAGCTCTTCCCCTAGGCAAGTTAAGGACCAGCCGCTTGTGCGGGGGAGTTTCCTACAACCTGGTCTATCGATTAAACCCTTAATTCCAAATCTGGATGGGTAGTTTTTGAGGAAATCGACAATTTCCAAAAAAAATGGGCAAAAAGTGAAAAAAGTACCGAGTTGTGAAGCTTTTCTAAGACCGTAGGGGGTGGGGTAGGGTAAAAAATGCCCTAAATTTCATGCAGGCAGGTAGGTGAAACGCTACTGAATCCATTGGTACCACTTTTATGAGAATCTGACGGGTAGTTTTTTGGGAAATCTCATCTGGAAAAAAAAACGTTTTCATAATACCTGTTTAATAAATCAAACAGGAATTAGCGAACGAATAATTATTAAAATAAAACAACTTTAAAACAAAATTTGATACAAAACTCTCAACTCGAAAATATGATTATTTCTAAATGATCACCTGAAACAATTTCAAAAAAAACAAACAAGGATAGTCGTTTGTTTTTGCGGTCGTTCGAATCACGACTGAGAGGGCTTTAATCATATATATCACTAGACACTTTCCGATGATTATTTGTGGTACCTGATTTTGTGTGGAAAATAAAAAATAATATTAAGAAAACTAAAACATACCTGAATACAATGTTTATCTTCATTTTTCAAATGATGGGACCAATTAAGACAGCAATCAAAAGTAGTTCACCAAAAACCACAAAAAAAATACTGGTGATTTACTTCTGGTGAAAAAAAAGTTGAAAAAAAACTACAACACCCGAATACAAATTTCCTCCCCATTTTCAAAACAAATTAAGCAATTCCGACTAAATTTGGGTGAAAAGAAATTACCGGCAGCAAGGAGATAGAATAAATATTAACTTCATTTAAGCGCTAAGGATGAAGGATAATCATAATCGGTTCAACATCTTGTAAAACACAGCTTGAAGAAAAGTTTTACACGGCCTGAAGAAAAATTTTTGTCCAACTTTAACGCCAAATCGATCGCTTTACTCGCTCGAAATATATACTGAAGCAAGAAACTTAAAATCAATGTTTCTTGACACTGAGAGAAAGAGGCACTTAGCATAGTGGTAAGGCGTTCATTTTTGAAATCGTCAAATCGTGTATTCGAACCCATGCCATGGCAATGCGAGGACAAGCTCTGGCTTTAGGTCTACCACAGCCTGACCAATTTCGGCTGCAATAGTGGTACCACGTGAAAGGGCTAGACGCAAAAAAAACGGCCTTGAGGAGCAAAAAAGGAGCTTCGCTCAACAAAATAACACAGTCTAGAATGTGGAAAGATAATACAAACAGACTATCCTCGAAAGGACTGTTAAGGCCTACAGATAGCTCCTCTGCGATTCGCAGGAACCATATTTTTAATATTTTTTAAAAAGCAAATTATGTACTGAACGAATGAAAGGGCTTTAAAATATGATAAATTACTCGACCTATTCTGAGTTGTGGCACCTGAATTTGCATGAAACAAAAACAAAAGTTCTAAAACACGCCCGATGACAAAGTTCTTTCCCATTTTCAGCGTTCGGAACAAAAGGACTTTCATTGAAAAGAGTTTTGAATGAAACAGTTCTGAAATAAGTTGGCCCTTTTCAAGATAATATCTTCGGATTGGTCAGCAGATGGAAACTGATATCACTCAAACTATACCGCTGCCTCGACGAGTTTTGAAGTGTACCTCCGTGAAACATGTCGACCAACGGCTTGAACTTTTCATGTGACGTTTAAAGTCTTGCAAAAACGAATATATCATTTTTTTAGGATTGAATCGAGTTATTTATAAAAATTGCAACCAAACTGCTTCAATTTCTTTATTTTCATAAAGTTACGACGCATTAAATTTCACTTTATCAGTTGACTATTTTGTTGGTATCGAAATTAAATGAATGTGCTTTGAGAAACGTCAATATTTATTCTGCAGATCAAATACCTTCTAACTCATTGAACTCACCAATTGTCATCTAAATTGTTCTCTTTTAATCATCAGGCGACCGATGTAGCCATCCAACCCTGCATTTCTTCATCCGATGGTATATTTTAGTCTGAACACTATAAGCAATTTCAACAGACACTCTTAATGCGTACTTATACATACTACACTCTAAGCTGACAATTTCTGTCGAGCAGATTAAGATTCCGCGAAGAATCTTTATTTGATATTACAACAAGAAAGGATAATAATCATTCAAGATTTCCCCACAGAAAACCTTGAAACAAAATAACCACTCTCTTAAGAATTGTTTCAGTTTTAAGCAAAAGCGGTTTAGCGAGTGAAATCGATCAAACTTGAGGTAAAACCATTATAGTGCATTTGATTGATCGGTTCAAAATATCACAAATTATCCAAATAAGAAACAATGTATTGCATTTTGCGACAAACGTTTTTCAGCCTTTGTTAGATGTCCAATTGAATCAATTTTTTGTCGACAGATCTTTCGCTCAACTGAAACTACTGTGTGGAAATTACTTCTCTATTCTGACTAAACAACAACAAAACGGAATCGAGCATCTTACAGGTCTAAGCTTCACGGCGATATTGAATACAAATACATTGACAACATTATACTCTGTTGTTTTGAAGCCACAGAGGAAGCGGCACAGACACCAACATTCGCTCGAGTTAATTGGAACATATAACAGAAGCAATTTTACGTCAACATTAGTAGCTAATACTCAACTCCGTGTGGCAGAGACAAAAATTAAAAATTACGACACATCGCATCACAGTTTTACGCAAGTTCAAGCGGTGTGAAATTAATTAGTATATACTTCTTCTCTTCACAAGACAACATCGGTAGACTGGCAAAAATAGGACCGACTTATTTTGGTTAAAAGCCTTGCAAGTTTCGTTCACATTCACATCTGAGTTGGTTACTCCTGCTGCTGGTGATTTTGCCTTGTCGACTATTTGGTCGCTTATTTGATAGCAGATGGATTGCAAGAAGGAGAGGTCGGGTTCGAAGGAGAGGAGTGTTGAGGGAAGTGAGGAGACAGGGGAAGGGAAAGCGCTTAGCACTACAGAGCGAAATGTCAAGTCAGTTCCTCCCATCCCTAGACACAAACTCAACATTCCTTCATTAACTCAAGGTGGGTGCTTAAAACATTAAATATACACTCATTAGGAAAAGTACATATTCCAAATGATACTTGGGCCTGATTTAAACGCATAACTTTTCATAAGGAAGCTTTCATGAGTGCTGCGATTAAAACAAATATTGCTGAGCAATAATGGTAACTCACTAAATCAGTGTGAGTAACCAAAATTTTCACATTAAAATATCTCTGTAGAAGTCTACTTGAAGCCGAACAATTGGACCTATTTGTTCTACTAACTTTATGCAACTCTTCGAATTTAAAAAACTTTCAAACACGCGTAAACTATTTTCAGGTCAGCCTATGCTGGCGGATGGGCTAAAACAGATCAGGGAACACCTTAAAGGCCAGGGCCTGTTAGATGAGAAGTTGGTGTCCCAAATTCTCAAGACATCCTTAGAGGCGTTCAAGAAGGAGTCAAACCTGGTTGAGGTCAGATGTTCAGACGCAGTCATCATCGGAGACATCCACGGACAGTTCTATGATCTGCTCAACATCCTAGAAAGAGTGTGTGGAGACAAACCACCACAGGGTCAGTATAATTATTACTACGGAAATTAGCGTCTAACAAACTAAAATTATCACAGTAATCAAAAGAAGCTCACCAAAAAAACACGAAAAAAATGTTATCCTGGCGATTACGCTTTTACGACTTTTCATCTTTTGCTAAATTTCTCAGATCAACAGAATGAAAACATTCAATAATTATCTACAACAAACAAAAACAAGTAAGAACACACCAAAGGACATGCTAAGATTAAGCCTATAACACGAATTGGTTCTTATGGTTAATCAAGTGGTTCTCAGATGCACAGCGCTTGCGTGATAATTTTACATCTCAAGTTCAACTGCTCCTAGGCACAACTAGCTACGTCTTCTTGGGCGACTACGTAGACAGGGGTTCGTTCAGCACAGAATGCATCCTCTATCTGTGCTCTCTCAAACTACTAGCCCCCAAAAACGTCTTCCTCCTCAGGGGCAACCACGAGTCAGAGAAGCTGAACAAGAACTTCAACTTCCACGAGGAGTTCACTCAGAAGTACTCGGAGGACCTGTTCCAGTTGTGTCAGCAGATGTTCAACTCCATGCCACTGTGTGCCGTAGTGAACAACAAGTACTTCTGTGCTCACGGGGGAATTAGCCCTGAGGCCAAAGTGCTCAGCGACATCAACAAGATCAAGAGACACAAGGAGATCCCACAGTATGTGTCGCACACAAAACAGACAAATCACAAGTATCAGTCGGCAATAGGGCTGAACAAATATTTCAAAAGCATGCCATTAAGTATTGCCATTTTTGCTATTAAGTATTGCAACAAAAGCCGAAAATAACTGAAAAAAGTCACATGTACCATTGAAAACTAAACAAGGAACTTTCGGAATGATAGACAAGCCGAATATTCAAAAAAGTCCTTTCAGCAGAAGAAGACAAAAAAGCATACAGACAATAATCTAAATTAGCCGAAAATTTTCAGTATGCAAAAAAAAAACAGTTTCGACTGGAATCGAACTCCCGGGCTTTTTGGTGAACCCAGGACCTTCACCAACCCTTGACATCATTATGAACCAAGGCAGATCAGTCCTGTGAACAAAGTTATTTACGGGAAAAAAAATCTACTACCCGATTGCAAAACCCTTGCTTATCGCAAGGATAATTAATAACTGTAAGCTAACAATGACTATTTTTTGGGAATTTTGATCCTAACTTAGTCAAAAATTTAGAGAAACTAGAAACAAAATGTGTGCGACACATACTCATTCTTCCTTCAGAGAAGGGTAAGCAACATTTTAAAATTATTTATCCACTTGCTTCAATTTTACTATCGTCCAGAATTGGTACAATGACATACGAAACAGTTCCCATATGAAATAGGCTTCATATGTGCTAAGTAGGAACCTTCCTCGAACCCAACGTACGGGACATCGACGCCAACAATGATAGCTTCTCATTCCCTTAAAGGCAGCATTCAAAAAACGACTACTTCATTTAGTGTGTTGCCCGCAAAGAGTATAACGGCTGGCATGATGTTTGTTTCATTTAAGGACAACTAAATTTAGCATTATTTCACCTATTTGAGGACTAGTTAATTTTTTCTTCTCTAGTTAATTTTTTCTTCTTTTTCTTCAAACGTTGTTATTTTTTTAGAACGATGACGGATCTATTGTGGAGTGACCCCTGCGAAGACTATGAGGACAACGAGAGTACGAAGAGCAGTGAGATGTTCCAGTTCAACCAGCAGAGACAGACCTCCTACCGCTATAACCACGCCGCCATCCGCAAGTTCTTACAGAAGAACAAACTCACCAGTGTCATCCGCGGACACGAGGTACAACTCACCGGAGTCAAACTGTTCAAGGCAAGCCTGTTACTTTTGTTGCCACTAATTCTTCTTATTTACCACACAGTTCAGATCGGTCAAAATTGTGCCTTTATCAGTAGGAAGGAGATTTACACCACTTGCTTGACACTTTATTGTAAACGTTTACCTGCCTTAGAAAAAGATGAGTACTCAATGTTAATTGTACCGGGCTGATTGTTAAGTGCAGGGCCGTTAACTGAAAGTGACGGAAACAGAGATAATAGTATTTTGAATTAGTGTAAACAGATAAAGGGATTAAAGATGAGAAGGAGTATGAGGGCAACCGTTTAAAAGCGAGAGCGCGTAATGGCTAAGAAAATTAAGATAACAAATCAAAGAAAATGCCAAGAAATTAAGATGTGACCAATTTGGTATTAACAAGTAGCAGAGAAACTTCCGACCATATTTTTGAAGAAAAAAAATTATTTTTTTTCCTCTTGGAGGTCGTTTTTTTTGTGCGTGTTTGATAAAAAAGATTGGACGAACGTCTTAAATATAAGCATATTCCACACTCTTTGTAAAATTGGCAAGATCAACAACAGTTTTTGTCGAAAAATGACTTAAAAACGCTCTAAAAAATTTTTTACGTTCGAAAATGGTACATGTTTTGCCAAATTTTCGAATCCCTAAATGGCGCTAAAAACTTCGAAAACAAATATAACTAGAGCAAAATTAAATTTTCAGGTCCTGAATGCGCTTATCCTTTTATAAAAACCAATTTTAAGCCTGCTCGCTTGCTTTATTCGTTCGAAATTAGACTAGAAAATCAAAAATTTCAAATCCATTTTTCTCGAGAAAAATTTTTTGAAATTTTAGATGTTGTTCCATCCACAACAAAAAGGGCTTTAATATGATATATCACTCGACCCTCTCCGATGATTATTTCTGGTTCCTGATTTTACGAGGAAAACAACAAGAAGTTGAAAAAAAAACATACACGCTTGAAAAGACAGTTCCTCTCCATTTTCAATGTTCGGAACAAGAATATACTCACTCAGAGTCGAAGCTGAGCTTCACACCACTTACGACACATCAGGTAGATAAAAAACTGAAATAATAACTGCAGCATAACTGCAGAAATAATAGCTGCAGCATAAAATAAAACAAGACTGCTCGTATCAGGGCGAATCCGTGAATGTTCCGACTGCCCTTTAATTGGTCTCGGATTAACTATAATCATAAGCTTATCGTAAATTAAATATTGGCATAACTACAACTTTAAGTCTGATAATATCAAAATTCAAGTGGTGCAGTTTGAGTCATGTATGGTGTTAACAAAACTAATCAGCTGCCTCAAGTCAACTTGGAGCAATTTTGTAGTGCGGGATAATAAAACAAGCAGTTTTAGACATACTCTTGGTAGGTTACTATAGTGGTGTGCAGACTCGGCTGTCCCCATGCAGACCAAGAGATCAATGCCCCAGGGGACCTGAGTTTGTAAAAAGTAGTTTGAATTTTAAATAAAAAACGGACATATATAATCCTCACGTTCTTCGAAAGTCGGAACAACACTATTACACTATAAAACTCAGCCAAATTTCTTGAAATACTATTACCAACAGAAATAGGAAAATTTTTCCAGGCTTATCTTTATCATCGAAATTTCCCAGCGCCCAAGCTTTCTGTTATCATTTAAAAATCAATTGAAACTTGAAAAAAAATAAATCGAAGTTGAAAAAAAAAACGATAAGCATTTCAAAAACGATCGAAAATGAACAATGCACGCAGTCAATTTTCGAATGAAGTCTGGACAGATTAGTAAATAAAACTATATAAAATAATAATGAACTGACATTTTAAGACAAAAAGGTCAAAACCGACAACTTGATGTTTGATGCAGTTCGAATTCAAAAATATGTTTTTCGTGCATCCCTCTAGAAGTAGCATTCAAGTAAGCGAAGTAATTGGCCTTTGAAAAAAATTTAAAGGAACCTAACCCCCGATAAAATTGGAACTTAACTCCAGACACACCTTAAAGGAGAGCGAAAAAAATCAATTTTTACCTCGTTTAAATTAGCGGCCAAATCTAATAAAGGTCTATAAAAAGCCGGAAGCGTTAAAATAATTTCTCTAAAAGCAAGTTCAAAGACCCATTAAACAGTTCAATTTTGCAGTTCACAATCTTTGATCAAAGAAGTTTCTTTAGCAGGAAGCGGATCTAGGATTTTCTCGGCTAGGGGCGGATTTAAAAAAAAATTTTAGGTCGACTAAATTGATTTTCCGAGCATTCTCAGAACACTATAAAGATCCTATTGTGACAAAATTTTCAGCGCCACAAGCAAAATTTTGGAAAAAATGCGTTTTTCCAGCCCTCGCACCCCTTCAAAGTTAGTATATATTGGCGCCTTTAGAAAAGGAGTTGGTCGCCAAAAACGAATGTCATAAACTTTGATTGGTTAGGGACCCTTTGATTGGTTAGGGGGGTCGAAACCCTTAGGGGAGGGGCGTCCCCCCAAATCCACCCCTGGTCTTTAGCAAAGCAATCAATATCAATATTTATGGCGTGAACTGTTCAGAAACAGACTCCGTCGTTTCTGTTGTTATGAAACACGCATCGAAAACTGTTCAGGGGCAACATGTCCTCATTGTCAGAGTCAATCGTTACCAGCATATAACTGGAGGTTTTCTTTTTTAGCACAAGGAAGATAAGTTCCCTTCAGTAATCACAGTATTCTCTGCTCCTAACTACGTGGATTCCTACAAAAACAAAGGGGCAGTCATCGTCATCAGCGAGAAAGACATGGACTTGAGGAGCTACAATGCAGTCGATCATCCCTTCCTCTTACCCGAGGGTCTCAACGCTTTCACGTGGTCGCTGCCTTTTGTTGGTTAGCTAGATAACAGTTGTCAGGAAATAAATTAACAGACTTCTCGGAAGTCGGCACGTCAACATCAAACCTCAAAAAATCTCTAGGCCGAGCTATTAGAAAAAGTTACAGGTACCCTTAATTTAATCATGATAACAGACTAACAGGCCGAACTAGCCAAACTGGTCAGAAAACTAGTGTAAGAGCTAATTTTTTAGTGTATTAAGGGTTGCGATGGCAACAGTGACCACACTTCCATTTTTCAACAGGAGAGAAAATCAACGAGATGCTAGTGAACATGTTAAATGTGTGCACTAAAGAAGAACTGGAGGCGAACAAAGTAGAAGAAAAAGAATCAGTGGCTACCCCTTCCTCCTCTCCCAAACACCCCCACATGACAGCAGAGCGGAGGGAGGTGGTCAAGAATAAGATCAAGGCAGTGGCTAAAATGGGCACATACTACAAGACACTTCAGATGGAGAACGATGCAATCATGAAGCTCAAAGTGCTCTCACCTGGAGGGAGACTCGCACCAGGTACAGTGAATAAGTCAAACACCGAATTTAAAGGGACTCAAGTGGGGAGCGGTGGTGAAGTGGTTACGTCTCCGCCTCTCACTCGAAAGGTTGCATATTGAAAACCCAGGGAAAGGTTGCATATTCGTGCTCGTTGCTAGAGGGTGGGGCAACATTTCTCAGCAGAATAGCCAAAAAATTGCATGTAAATCTTAAGCAGGGTCGCAATAGCGATTCTCAGTGAAAAGCTAAATAACTCGTATGTTGGTCCTTCAACTTGTGGAAAAATTGTCTTAATTTAAAGGCTCAAGTCAAATAGATCTCAAATACTAGCTATTAGAATAACTATCCAAAAGCACGCACATTAAACACACAGAGTCAAAGCGGAAGCAAACCCAAAATTTCCGTAAGTATCGATAAGAGATAATTAGACCAGGCTAAAGCTGGAGGTATTCTGATATTTTTTGAATTTGTTTCACTGATAAGAGTAAAAAATGTGTAATTTCAAAAATTGGCCTTCGCGCAAAACCTTAGTTGTTTCCTTACTAAAATAAGTAAGGGCCAAGATTTTAAAGATATTGCTATTTTCCCACGAACAAACATTTCTTATAAAAAAATAAAGATTCGCCGGTTCTGCAGGAGAAATTCTCGCAACTGGTTCATTCGATTAAACCCTTCATCTCAGTTTTGATAAGGTAGCTTGTTTTGTGAAAAGTCGAAAAAATTTTAAAGACGGTCAAAATATCACATTTTCTTCAAATCCATAAGTTTTATTTTAAGAAAATTGGGCGACGACAAATATAACGGCTTTCAACAACCTGTTGTTTCGATTAAGCCCTTGATATCAGATCTGGCAGGATAGTTATCGAGAAACGACAAAAAAAAGTCAACCAATAAAAAAATTTTCCGAGATTCATAACTTATGTGTAACAAAACTTGGACGTAGCCGCTTATGCAGAATAAGAGGTCATTGATCTGTCAAACCAAAATCAGCTGACAACCAAACCAAATGAAATTTAAAAATTGAGATCTGATGTAGAAATGTAATGCAATATATCAGGTCCCACCTACGAAATGCATTACATTTTTACATCAGTGAAATTCGTCAGAGAAGTAGCACGTTGCTCGAATAACCTCTACTTTCGTTATGGAAACGAAACCCAAAAACGCTAACCAAAACGCGGCATGACGATTGCTGAAAATTTTACATAAATAAAACAACCTTTCATGAGGAAAAGTTATTACACAGAGAAGAAGCCGAGCTTTACAACATTTGCGATGCAAAAATGAATGATTATAATTTAAATCAAACCAAAGGAAAAAACAGAAAACTCTTTTTTTGTCAAAAAATTATAAAAGGAAAATTTTTTTCACCGGGAAATATGCCGGCGAAAATAAGCAGACAACCTAAAATACCCAAAAAATATTCAGTTTGCGGAAAAAATATGTCCCGACTTGAATTGACATCCCGGGCTTTGCCGTCTCAAACATGCGTGTTGCCACAAGTTGGAAGAAACTGGAGACTTCAAAAAAACCGGGCTACGGGAATTTAACCGAAAAAAATAAACAGACGGACTATAGTCCAAAAATTGTACACACAGTGACGAAGCAGAGCATCACACCACTTGCGATAAAAAAAGATTGTCTTTCGTAATAAGAAAATTTAATAACTAAATTTAAAAAGAAAAACCACCCTAAAAATCGTTACCGTTTGTCAAAACTTTGATTGCGAAAAAAGCCAAATAACCCAGAAACGAAATTACCACAATCATTAAAACTTAAGGAGATTTCAAAATGCCAGAAAGAAGCCGAACCTTCAAAAAAGTTCATTTGCGAGCAAACCGACTATAGTCTAAATAGGTCCAAACATTTTCAGTTTGTAAAAAACAACAGGTCCCTACTGGAATCGAGCTCTTAGCCTTTGTCGTCTCAGACAGAGTGTTACCACTGCACCAATTGCTCAGAATTTTCCTTGAATGTGAATTTATACTAAAGCAAATGATACACACAACAATTTCGCAAGGGTAAAAATCATGAGCGTCAAATTTGAAACTAACAGCAATCAATCAAGATCAATTCAATTATAACAAAAATTTTTAAATCCAAAGAAAAGTCCATGCTTTAGAACTAAGCCGGTAACAGTAAACACAATCGATATTCCAACAAAATAATTTTTCCAGGAAAAAAAATTTAATTTGAAAAAAGGCTCCCGACAGGAACCAAACCTAGAGCTTTTATCTTCCCAAAGATATGCGTTACTTCTGGCTAAACCGTCATTGAAGTTAAATTTCTTATGAAGTGCCAAACATCTCATGTGGAGAATCTATTAGCAAATTTGTTACGAGAAAAGTCTAGTACCCAGGGGCGGATTTAGAATTGGACGGGGAGGCGGGAGCTCCTTCCCCCTTCAGGGATTCGACCCCCCTCCTCCCCACCAAGCAAAGACTTCACCTTTCATACTATGCCAGACATCCATTTTCGGCAAACCAGCCCTAACAATTTTTAAGGACGCTTTTGTCGCTAGTATATACAAACTATTAAGGTGATCGCGCGCCAAAAAATGCACATTTTTTTGTAAAAACTTTCCAATTAGTGCCCAAAAACCGCCTTTTTGACCGCCGTTTTTTTTAAAACAATTGCCTGCGGCGCAAAAAGTTTTGTCAAAAAAGGGTCATTATACTATTGTAGAATGCTTGGAAAATCAATTTGTCGTAAAAAAAAGAGGGAAATTTATCCAAAAAAATTATGGCGATATAGTAGTTCCCGTCGAAGCTGGTGGAAGTTTTTACACTGGCCTAAATTTCATGCTTGAAGAAAAAAGATCTTAAAAAAAAATTTGCGGCTAAATTATCAAAATGTTGAAGGACTCATATTTGATATTGATATCTTGAGCAGTTCATTCAATTAAGTCTGACTTCACATTATCACTCTTGGTATTCTAGGTACTTTATCTGGTGGACGATCTAGCATCATGTCCGCAATCGAGAAAAACATGAATCTTGATTTCCATGAAGTAAAAGAAATAGATGCCGAAAATGAGAAGATGCCATCTGATACAAGATGAATCTTTCAATGCCTCGCAAACTAATTTCAAAATGTGTTAACTTTATTATAGTAGTTTGGAAAAATTCTTAATTCAAATATTATAGGGTAAACAATTCTATGTAATTCAAATTTCTTCAGTCTCCTGTCAATTGAGCTGCGCCAGTTCGGCTAATTGAAACAGTTTTTTTTTTTTAAAAAAAGGTCAATTAAAAGGTGTCCTTAAGTCATGCGACGGTCCGTGCACAGGTTGGAAAGGGCCATACAAGCGCTATATAAATACATCGGCAAAATTGTATGAACGAATCAAGTCGATTTTAAAGCATCCAGAGACTTGTCAATTAAAATCTACCCTCCTCGATTTTAGCACTGATGGAATTGTCCATGTATGTATTTTTCAGTTTTTTGCACCCACTGAGGCAGAGGATTGCACTCCTCAGAAAGGCAAAACAATCGTAAGCAAGCAATCATAAAGTTTTAGCTTTAGTGAATTGGGTTTGCGTTTTAGCTCCAACTAGTGAAATGGGTCTGGGTGTCCTAGCAAACAGACCGGAAAATGGCAGTACTCCGAAAAACGTCAATGTAAAAGCATAGCTTTTTAAATTATTCACAAGCAATTTTCGAAATAGCTTCAGTTTAGACTGAAATCTTGCGGCAATTTCTTAATTGATGTGTAACTTTTGGCCAACAAAAACATTTTGACTCCGATTGAGAACAGATATAGTGTATATTTAAAACACAGCAAAAAAAATGGATCGCAAATTTTAGGCAAACATTTCACAGATACTTCAAAAATTGACCGAATTGTACGGTAATCCATCCTGTGAACTGACAAAGGTATGAAGATATGACTTATTTTAGTTCACCCGGTAAACTCGGCTTGCCATGTGGAAAAGAGATGAAAGCCTTTGCGCGACTTATCCTTGGAAGATCGTCAAATGATCAAAAATTGCTGTCGTGAAAAGAACACTTAGACGGATTTTATCGTCAGTAGTTGGAAGCACCAGAAACTTGCCGCAGAAAAAAATTTTGCTACTAAAAAAATGCACCTTTGGTTAGTTATCTGGAGCGAACGTACAGGTTTGGCAAAGGAGATAACGTTATTTTGCCAAAACTGAGGTGATTAATGAAATTCCAACTTTGAGCTTCACTCCACTTGCAAAACAAACTGAAATTCCAAAACTCAAAACAATGTGTCTCAGCCGAAACGTACGTGTAACTGCAAAACAAACTGAAATTCCAAAACTCAAAACAATGTGTCTCAACCAAAACGTACGTGTAACTTTTGCTGCCATCAAATAACCAGACTTTTCTTAGTTCAGACTCGGAGGCAGAGGATTGCACTCCTCAGAAGTGCAAAACAATCGTAAGCAAGCAATCGTAAGCAAACAATCGTACGCAAGCAATCATAGAAATTTTTAGCTTTAGTGAAGTAAGTTTGCGTTTCAGCTCCAATTAGCGAACTGGATCTGGGCGTTCAAGCAAACAAAGCTGAAAATGATACTGCTCCGAAAAACTTGAGCTTCACTCCACTTGCAAAACAAAATGATATTCCAAAACTCAAAATATTGTGTCTCAAGTTCTCAAGTTTTTAACAAGCAATTTTCGAAATAGCTTCAGTTTAGAGACTGAATTCTTGCGACAGCTTCCTAATTGATGCGTAATTTTTGGTCAACAAAACATTCTGACTCCGATTGAGAACAGCAAGTGTATATTTAAAATACCGCAAAAAATATGGATCGCAAATTTTAGGCAAACAGTTCACAGATGCTTCAAAAATTGACCCAAATGTACGGTAATCCATCCTGTGAACTGACAAACGTATGAAGATATGACTTATTTCAGTTTACCCGGTAAACTCGGCTTTCCATGTGGAAAAGAGATGAAAGCCTTTGCGCGACTGGTCTTGGAGGATCGTTAAATGATCAAACATTGCTGTCGTGAAAAGAACACTTAGACGGATTTTATCGTCAGAAGTTGAAAGCACCAGCAACTTCTGTCGCAGAAAAAAATTTGCTTCTGAAAAAATTGTACATTTGGTTAGTTAACTGGCGCAAAGGTAGAGGTTTGGCAATGGAAAAAACGTTATTCTGCCAAACACAGAGGTGATTAATAAAATTCCAATTTTGAGCTTCACTCCACTTGCAAAACAAAATGATATTCCAAAACTCAAAATATTGTGTCTCAACCGAAACGTAGGTATAACAATTGCTGCCATCAAAAAATCGGACTCTTTTCTTAGTTCAGACTCTGAAAAAAATCCACAGATAACGGTATCAATCTAAATTTTGGAGGTTGCGCAAAATTGCAAAACAAAAGAAGTGTTATAACAGCGACGGTCCATCGGGTTTACAGAAGGACATCAACATCGGTAAATTGTGAAAGAGCTTTGGCGAAAATGAAAAGAATATATTGAAAATCCATACCCGGAAAAATGCTCGAACAGGGTGATGTTCGAAACTTCAACAATATCACTGAGGGAAAGAGACATTTAGAGGTTACGGCATCAAATGATAGAAAAAATAAGAATTTAAAAGACTCAACCCGTTTTGGCAATGCAATATTGATCGAAGTCTTTGCAACTGTTGGCTGACCAACCCTCATAACTCCCTTTGCATTTGGATTAGAGCTGTGGATCTATGTATCCAATTTTGATGAAAAGGCGTTTTTACTGGTTCAGGTCCTATATTTAAAACTAAGTTAGCTGTGGCTGCATTTAAATAATTTTCTACTGAGTATTCAGGATCTGTTCTTGTGAACACTATTAGTGGTTTATTTTAAGACAAGAAGATCCACCCATGAGGTATGGATTCATAGGGATTTGTAGTGATTCTGCGACATTTGGTATCTGAGAAAAAGTTGTAAATTGTGTTTTTGTAACTTCATGTTGTTGTTAAAAATATGTTAATGGGATTTCATTTTGCAGTTGCATTGGTTGATAACTTTGTGTGTTTAAAGGGTTTTGTGATTGAAAGTTTTTATAATATGATGGTGAGTTTTGTTTTGGAGGAAAAGTTTGTCTTACTTGTCGTGTTTGTTCATTTCGTGTATATGGTTCAAAAAGACCTGGTCGATAAATAGGATCTGGTTGATCAATATTCCAGTTAAAATTTTGTTGATTTGAGTTAAATCGTTGTTGGTTTTGGCTAAAATAGTCTTCATCTTCTGTCTAATGTGGTTGATTTCTTGTGAGATCTTTTTTAGTTATATTTTTATTTCGTTGAAAGAACGGAAAGTTTTTGCTACGATCCACTATAGCTTGTTGTTGATCGTTGAAAAAACTGAGTGATAGGGCTGTTGTGGTACTTGTTGATTGTAGTTTTGTGCTTGTGGTTGGTTTTGACTGTTCTTACAGGGGAGTTTTGTTATTTTGGTTTTTTTTGCAAAAAGTTGTAGTTATGATCTGAAAAATTGTTTCTATAAGAAGTTTTTTGTTTATTTGTTTGTCGTGATGTCGTTGCTGGCCTAAATATTTAATAATCCATTTTTGAGAATTTTGGAGTAACAGAAGGTTTTACTGTGGATTGTATAGTTGCTTGTGGAAATGCGGGATTTTGTTTTGTGGAGTTGTAAGTGGAAGAAGAATGGGGGAAATATTTTGTTGTGTTGTTGTTGGCATTATTTCGACTATTTCTACATTAATGAAATGTGATGAAGTGTGAATTAGTTGTTGTGTAAAATTTCTTGTTCTGTTTAAATTTTTTGTGTTTCAATGAATGTGGAAATTAAACTTTTATTTCTTTAATCTTTCAAGTCTTGAAGTTCCTGTATTGTGTTTGTTCCTGATTCTGAGACTGCGTTTCGTCATTTCGAAAATCTTCTTTGGTAATTTACTTTTGTTTTGTTATAATTGTCTTTTTCCGTGTTGGTCTTTTTGATCTAGTATATCCTATTGTCTTTCTGTGCGGTGTGGTTACAAGCTCGTATCTTTCGTTTTTAATTGAATAATTATGAAAAATGATTGTTTGTTTACTGCCTAGGTTATCTCATGACATAAGGTTTAGAAAGATGGTTGCAATACTTGGGGGTTAGAGTTTCTGTTTTCGCAAATAGTTAGTTCTTAAGGTTTTTGTGTGAATCTCTTATCTTGGGGCATAGATTGTCGAGGTTGACGGATTGGAGAGAGAGTAAATCATTTCGTGAGAATGATTTTTTTTCTCGTGATTAGGTTTTAATATATGATTGACTCAACTAACCTTACCTAGGGGTTGTGATTTTCGATCAAGGGTTGGAGAATAGTAAATCAATCCACAAGATTCAGGTAAAAATAGAACACAGGTAGATGGTTAGATACTATTTTATGACTAATAATTTTTTAAGTGTTTTAGCCTGGGTCATCTAAAAGGAAGGGCTCAAGTGAAGGATGAGTAACCGTGTTCTTCACTGTGTATCTTAATTAAAGTGGTTAGTTTTTCAAAAATTTCTAATAGTCCTGGGTCGTTTATAAGGGTTGGAGAGTGAATCGACGTTTGGGGTCGTTAGACACTTTAAAATTTTGGGATAGGGAGAACAAAATCGTTCTGATTGGATCCAAAGGAAGCCTTGATGATCAAAATTTGAATGAAATAAATTTAATTTTAAGTGAAATTAAAGATTCAAGGAAAACCTTGATGATCTGTTTTTGAAATAAAAGTGAACTATGGAAAAGCAAGGTTAAACCTTGATAATTTTTATGTAAAAGTTTAAGTTTTTAAAAAATTTAGAAGTTAAAGCTTAGATGATATTAGTTTTTTGAATTTATGCTGTTATGTTTTAAAAGATGAGGCTGAGATGAAAAAAAAAGATGATGTGTGTGAATTCATGAAACTAACAATATGTTTTAACACTACATAATTTTTGTATTTTTCATTCAATAAACTATTTATCCAAAAATTTTGATTTTCTGCAGATTTTGGGGGAACGACTTGTTCTTTTTATCAGTCGTTATTGTTTAAATAATAGGTTTAGCACCAAATGAGTTGCTGAAAAATTGTTCTTCAAACAATCTCCAAGTCAAAAAATGAAAATTTAAATTTGCTGCCTACAGTCTTCTAAATACAAAACTTTTTCCGGTTTTCATCGTACTATCATGTGGTAGATTGGTCCGTTTTCTGATCGTTGTTCACGCCTTAATCTTGTTCTTCTTGCAATACCTGTTATTTCT